GTTGGTTCGTGGTTGGTTCATAGTTGGTTCGTGGTTGGTTCATAGTTGGTTCGTGGTTGGTTCATAGTTGGTTCGTGGTTGGTTCATAGTTGGTTCGTGGTTGGTTTGTATGCAGATGATTCAATTTTTATCTCAGGGAAGACACACATTGTTCCTCACAGAAGAAAAGAGGACTCCATGATTAATGACACATCAGGTCACATGATATGAAACCAGAGGAGCCGCAGGTGAATTAGCAACACTTCATCTTTTTACAGCCTAATCCCCCCCCCCCCCCCCCTCCCTCCGTGTTTATGATTAATTATCTGTTTCCAATGAAAAATAAATCCTGGGGAATCAGGATGAACACAGACTCCATCTCCAGGCTCTTCATCTCCACACTGACAGCATCATTATCATCACCTTCACTATGTTTTTTATCAGATTATTTTTAGGCTATTAAAAATATTTGACTAGGCCCAGGGTAAAAACAAAAATGAAAAAATAAAGAATCAGCAGCAGCTCCAGTGAAATGTTTTTTAAAAAAGAGAAGATGTTGGAGCTGAATAGGCTGATGATCTGCAGAGCAAAGATAAGGAGTCATTACTGCTCCTCATTATACATCTGCTGCTCATCTGATGATCCTGGAGGACAGAGATAAGACAGCAGGAGGTGGAGGAGGAGGAGGAAGAGCTGCTGAGGAGAAGGAGGAGGAGGACGACAGCAAAACAGGAGAGAATAGAGGAGATCATTGGTGATGGTCATCTGATGGAGGAGAGGGAGAAGATTAGAGAGGAGAAGGAAAAATAAAAAGAAAGGAGAAAGAGGCAAAGGAGATCATAATAATTCTGATGCTCATCTAATAAACCCTTCATGGTAGGAGGAGATAAGAGAGGAGAAGATGCTACTCATCAGCTTATCCTGAAGTCTGAACAAAAAAGGAGGAGAGATAATATAATATAATGTAATATAATATAATATAATATAATATAATATAATATAATATAATATAATATAATATAATATAATATAATATTGTAGCTGTTATAGTTGTTTATATTTTTGGATTAATTTTGAGATATGCAGTGAGGCAGTTTGAGCAGCAGAGGGTAGTGTCTGCTTTTTAAATGAACACTTTTCTTAAGTTGTTTCCCGTTTTCCTGTTTAAATGTGATCTAGAAACAACAACTACAATTGTAAACAAATCACAGATAACATGTTGCTTTAAGACAGCAGAACTAAAATCACTGATTTTACCAATGGACTTTGGTGTGAACTAAAATGACTTAAAGCTGAGCCGTTGGTTGGTGCTCCTTTTACACAGTCTCACTCTCACGTCAATTTCTATTGTGGAATGTGTGACTTCACTGAAATAATTTGTCCAGTTTTAATTCTGTGTTACAAACTGACCACACAAGCCAGCAGTGGACCAACAACTGTTGTGTCCCCTGAACTAAAATCACACATGTCTCTATGATGTTGGTATGGTGAGAGTGAGCTGCATTTACTGGTTGTGATTCTTTAACTCTGATCCGAACTTTGAGTGAGCAGAACTCATTCATAGTCACTGCGATGCTCTCTCTCTCTCTCTCTCCTTTCTCTGAAACAGAGGGAAAAACTGTTGATTGTGACGCTCTGATACTGAGATAGTGAGAAGGGGGAGGGGGGGGGGGGGGG